GCTGAGGAGACGGCTCAGTGGTTAAAGAGCCCATGATAGAAGCATGAGAACTAGAGTTCAGATCCCCAGAACTCACATAAATATCAGGTCGGTGTGACATCCTGCCTGTCATTACAGTCTTGGAAGGGATAGCCAAGTGCCCCGCTAGAGTAGGCTATCTAGTGAGACTAGCCAAAATGACAGACCCTTCTTCACTGGGAAAAGTGCAAGAGAATGATTCCCAACATCTATATCCGGCCTCCATATACACATGCATGTATGCCTACACATGTACACATGTACCCGCGCGCGCGCACACACGCACACACACACACACACACACACACACACATATGAGCACACAGCCAAAAGGGAGAAAAGTCACAGATCTAAAGATAATACCAAGCTCCATCTGTACTTGTCAGTCTTTGTCTACAAAAGTCAAGAATAGACCCAACAAAGACCCTTCAGATCTTCAGGACAAGGAAGCTTCGCTCACCCATTATTCATCTGTACCTTGGAAAGTAGACAACACAGTTGTGAGGTCACTGGTCTTCTGGGAACCTTGAAGCAACCTAACATTTGAAACAAGTTCTGCCCTGGTGGGAAGATGTAGCATGAACCACAAGGCATTTGAAGAAAGTCCTTCATTCCACAGAAACAGAATTCTCCCTTTTAGGCAGAAGGTATTCTCAGAGGTCAAGACCATCCACCCACAGTCATGTGTGCAGTATCCAAGGTACCGTTGGCATGAGATAAATCTGTGGGCTTTACCTTCCAACCTCAAGAACCAGACACCATTCCCACATCACTAAGACTATAGTGAACCAGGACTGGAGCCCCAAACTATCTAGGACAAGCCTCACTTTAGCCACACTTACAGAACCCACAAAGTTCTCAAGTATTATGACTCAGCATTTGAAATTGGTCCTCAAAGCCTACCAGAATGAAAACTCCACAGGCATATCATCTGCCTTGCACACGAGTGGACTGCAGTGCCTAAACCAAGTGCAACGTAGAGAGCAGACATTCAATAAACAGTCAGATCTTATTGGATGGATGTTTCAAAAAGAGAAGCTCTGCTTCCCCCTGTGCATCGGAACCCTAGATGGATACTGTTTATCATGCATCAGAGCATGAGTGAGAAAAAGCAGTGACCTAACGAGGGATCAATAAAAACAACAGGGCACTTAGAGAGCATTACAAAGAAACAATGAAAGATGCTCTCCAATCAGAGGTAGTTGTGGCAGGTGCATTACTCCCTAATGATGGTCACACCCTACTCTCTGGGATCCCTGAATACATTACATAATAGGACAACATGTGCTTTGTAGAGGTAATTCGGTATGTGGAGCTCAAAACAAGGAAATCATCTTGTATTACTTGGATGAGCAGATCTAATGGCGGCAGCCCTGAAAAGCACAGAACTTTCTCTGCCTGGAGACAAAGAGATGTGGTAAAAGTCAGAGACTTAAACTTCGAAAGAGAGCCCAGGCGCTCAACAGAGATGTGTGAAAAGGATGAGAGAGACTGCACTGCCTCTAAAAGCAAAAACTCATGCCCAGGCCGAAAGCCAGAAGAGGGACTTCAGGCCCACAACTGTGGGGAGCTGAACTCAGCTGATACCCTCAATAAGCCCCAAAGGGCATCTGTCTTCAGAGTCTCTGAACAGAAGCCCAACCCTGCCAATACCTTGGCTTCAGCCTAGATGCACTCTCAAGGGATCCAGACTTCTGACCTTCAGGACTGTGAGTTAATAAATGCATGCACTGTTGAGCTCCTGTGTATAAGGTACCTTGTCACAGAAGCAACAGGAAAAACAAAGCCAATGCAACAGCAGGGACCCTGACAACTGAGGCAAAGAAATTCTTCTGGCCAACTCTGCTGCTCCAATACCATGGCTCTCTCCGACAGTGCTAAGGGAAGTGGAGGCTGGAGTGAGGAGGCAGACAGATCCCCACATACGCTTCCGTCCTCTCTCTGGGAGAAGTGCAGGAAGGACCTTCAGAAAAGTTCAGAGAAGGTGAAAGAAAGTTTACCTGCTCCACCTCGCCCACATGCACAGCCAAATCCACCCCGATGACCAGGGACACAAACCAAGTTGTTGCCAGGTGGTCCTAAGGGTTATTATCTTGACAGTCCAGACACTATGGACACTCACTATTGTTATTATGTTCATGACCTCTATGAGTTCACCCTACAGACAGAGTTCCATGCATCAATCCATCCTTGTAAGTAGGGTACCCAGAACAATTCTGACATAAGACACACTTAATAAATGCTGTTCAGTAAATGAGTAAGTCTGGAGATTGGTGGTTTTGTTTTGGGGTTTTGGCAATATCTGGACCAACGATGTCATTGTTCATTGACATATTCTTCAGGATTGCTTTGTTTATTCTGTCTCTGATTCCTAATACTGATCTTTAGAAGGAAACATCTGTCTTACCAGAATAAACCATAAACTAACCACCATAAACATTTAAATTTCAGTCACTGTTTTCAGTATGCAACTTGTATTCCTGTGTCAATTAAATGATCAATGTTGATTTGTTGAGCATCTAGTATGTGCCAATCCCTTGATATATATCCGTTCAGAAATATATAAAACAAATAATCATAATAAATGGTACACTATATTACCTCCATATAAAATAAGAAGTGGTGGAAGCTTGTAGAGCTTAAGATAATTTTTCCAAAGTCAATGACATGTATAAAAAAGCTAAACCAATATTCGAAACCAGACCTCAATGATCTCTAGCCAGGCCCTTCTAACTCTGCAACACTGCCCCATGTTGTCCAATCACCCATAGCCTACAGCAGACCCAGGAAAAAGAGTCAGAATATTTTGGCTGAAAAATAGGGAAATATCTACACCAAAGCTAATATTCACATGAGGGAAAAATATTTCAAAACATGTATTTTCTGATGAGCCACTTTTGGTACAGAAATGCATATTAACAAAACAGTCTTGCTCCACGATACTGTGTAATGCATCTGGCTGTTGTCCTCACTGTAGTTCTTGGCACAATTAACTGCTCACTGGCACAATTAACAGCACAGGTTGCCTATACTGACCATCAGAAATGTTTAAATTTCAGCCAAGTAGCAAAAGAAAAAGTGTACTTATTACAACGCAAGTATCAGTCCTGGTGTTCCAATTAAGGCATTGATTAATTCAATAAACAACATCACAAATGTCTAAAAGCCATTCCATCCCAGAGGCATCTTCCAAAACATTTTCACACACAGCACAATCCTGATCACTCACTAGAGTCTACTTTAAGAGCCCCATGTTTTGATTTCAGCAGAAGCCATGGGGCAGAAGCAGAATTCCAGAAAACATGCAGGAGACACACTGAAGCCATCTTAATCAACACTGGTTCATGAACCTACTAATCTACAAGGACGTAACAAAAGAGGATGTCACAAGCTGACAGGTCTGAATCTCCATGGTGTTGCAAACCCACCCAAATGCAGACAATTTCAAGTTGAAACCTGAGCTGTTCATGAACAGATGATAAGGGCCACGGTGTCATTCTATTTTAAAAATAGTCCCAACACTCTAAGAGAGGAGGGATTTTACTAGGATGTAAACACTACAGGTGTTCAGTGAGTAAACTGAAGAGAAAGCAAATGGATTGGCACCAGAATCGATTACTGTGTCTTCTAAAATAACTCATCATCCCTAAATTTGAAGGCCAAATGCTTACCTCCATATCTTATAGTAAAGTAAAGCAGCTCCCAGCATGATTTCATATCAAACCTTTCACACCATTTGTAATGACCTTGACCCTCTAGGTCTCACAAAATGTCAACAGTCTGCCAAGATCTGCAGCAGTACATTTATCTAACTATGGAGGGCTATTGCTTGGAGTATTTACAAACGTCTCCAATAAAGAAATACATCTTGCTGGAAATTATAGTGATCGAAGCAATAACCAATGGAATCACACACCACCGAAGCAAGCACTTGATAGCTTTTAAAACCCTGAAAAAGAATTAACTACTTCAGGAGTATGGAAACATTAAGCTGTTGACAACAGCTGGCATGTATACACACCATAGAAGCACCTAGAAAAAATGCATAGTTTTGCTACCAACTATGCCTCAGGCAACAGCTAGAGTCACAGAATTGAGCCATATGCAAGAAATTCTTTACAGTTCAGAAAGTCTACATTGAGCTATTTCTAAAGCACACTCCAAGGTATGGAGTAGGCTCAGGATCCTGACAGAAACTGATCATCTTAGGACTCCCTAAGAAGGCAGAGTTCTCTATAAAGCAATCCAGCTTCACAGAGTTCAACATGATTACATCATAATAAAAAGAACATGTCTTTTCAGAGGACCTATTGACACAATAGCTTTCTCTGGTAAACTAATAAACAAGAGTGCTGGATGTTGCAGAATATGATTGGAAGCATTTTGCCAGAGATCTCAGAAAACTCACAGAAATATTTATTCTAGAATTTCTATAGACATAACCCTGAAGACTGGCTCACTTGCATTCTTTGGTTATGGTTTGTTTTGAGTGTTTTTTTTTTTCTAATACATTTTTGTCATTATATGAGCTAATTAATTTTATGTGGTCTTGCCCAATCCCAATGTTTCACTATCTAACCACAATCTCCCCCTTCTGTTGGTAGTCATCGACTATTAATTATTTCAAGACTTTTTCTTTTCTTAACTGTGTGTGTGTGTGTGTGTGTGTGTGTTTCTTCAAATGGACTCATCCTCAGAAATACAGTATTAAAAACATGAACGATGGGTCTTCTCTAGTTGCAACAGGCACAAGAGACCATGGGCCTGGACTCAGCCACACCCAGAACATTCTTCTCCAACTCACCCCTTGGGAAACGGACTGAAATTTGAAAGAACACTCAGAATACAACTGGGCTAAATTATATCACCAAGTCCCATCCAGCCCCAAGCTTCTACAAAAACAAGTCATGTTGCCCAGGAAAAGATTTCACATCTCCGAGGCAGCGGTGCTTGAAGCCTCTGCACAGAGCATGTCCACTCACCACGACCGGCTTCAGGATGTCCATGTTGTAACGCAGCATTCTTTCTGCTGCATCCAGCTTCTCCCTTGGTAAACCACAAAGGGCAGAAACTGCCGGCTCACCAAGCCGAACGATGTCTTCTAATTTTGATCCATTACACAAGCTGGCCAAATGTAACTGGTAGCCTTGCAAAAATACCTGGAAGGGTTTCATGTAAAGAGAGAGGAGAATAGATTATCAGGACTGAAAGCTGGGTCCTGGGAGCCTTGGGGGGAAACCTACATCAACACAGCTTGGAAGATCTTAAGCAGATCACCATCACAGTCACCCCAGGGGTGAAGTCTCTTTACCAAACCAGGGAATGAATCAAGGCACAATCTGCTACACGTTTCAAAATTGAAATCATGACTCAGTATCTCCACGCTGTTGTCCCCTCTAGCACAGGGAAATTCTTAATGCAAGTCTTTTCTTGCAATGTGACTGGAACACATGATTCAGCTAATGGAACCCCAGAGTCTAAACCCCTGGAACCATTAAAGTCATCCTAACTATTCTGGAATTTATGACACTGGACACTGAAATTTGGCTGAATCACAAATATATATATATATATATATATATATATATATATATATATATATATATATATATATATACACACACCCTAAATCTGTATAGGTATTTAACAAATCCATAGAACTATGTTCAAGGAATGCCGGGATCAGGAATATTTCATTTTACTTGCCCAAAAACTGAACATGGAAAAGCAGGCCCCTATCAACTCTTTGGTAGACCAGTTCTAAGTCATTCCTGCCTGTTCTATAGCAAACCCAGCAGGGAACCTCTCTCTGGCCATACACCTCTACCTAGTTAGCCTTTCCAGGTACAGATGTGAGCCTCACTATCCAGCCAACAGAATGCTGTGGAATAAGATGGAGCTGCCTTTGTTTATGGGGCTCATATTTGCACTCGTATCACTAGAACAGCATTCGTTGTAAGGACGAATGAATGATTTGGGCTTCTTATTACAGCATCACCAACCCCTCTATCAGCTTTAATGAATACAGTCCACCCTGGTCACAGAGCAGCCCTGTAGAGGAACATGAGTGATGAACCCAGTGCCTCTCAGCACCCACGCAGATTGTAAACACTGCAGAGTATCTGACCCTCCACGGTGTCCACTCAATTTTCACCTTCTGCCAGATACTCAAGTACACTTCAGGCTTACTCCTGTCTTTAGTCCCTGTTGCCATGCTGTGATGAAGAACCCTGACAACACAGAAACTCTAATTACCATGCAAAGACCTGCCCAGGATGCCTCTTATTTTAAGTTGATGGCATGTAACAGATATGAAATTGGCAGGGGACAATGGAAATTATGCTAAACGCAACGATTTCAAAAGCCTGCTGCCTCTGGCCCACCTCCCAACCACACAATTGGTAAACACAAGGCATATTTTCCTAGTTTCATAAGAGCATGCAGCAAGCACATTTTTCTAATTTTAAAAATTCTCAGCCATGTGAAGCAGAGATCTCTTCAAGCATCAACACTCCCACTACTTCTGCTTACTGTAAAGTCAAGCCAGTTTAGAGGCATAAGGCCATGTGTGGGGTCAATTCTCTTTTCTGCTAGAGAACCAAGTGAAGAAAAAGCTTTGAAAAAAATTATAGCTATGCACTCTGCCCAGGAGATGTATGAAAATAAATGATGCCAGGAAGTTCTCTAGGACCCTAAAATGAAAATTCTATGTAAACACTAATATTACACTTAAATTTTTAATAGAATTCTCCTTACACATCTTCCCTATCTTTAAAATGAAGCACTGGGTGTTTTGTTTAATCTTTTGTGATAGATTCTAGTTCAAGAATCCACACCTTTCTCGGGAGGCAGAGGCAGGCGGATCTCTGTGAGTTCGAGGCCAGCCTGGGCTACCAAGTGAGTTCCAGGAAAGGCGCAAAGCTACACAGAGAAACCCTG